TTTCCACCCTACTTGAGTTTCCTGCATGTATTTGAAACCATCCTATTTGTGGCAGGGTGTGGGAAAAATGGGCATTAAGATCCATGTGTAAATAATGATTATAAATCAGCACACAATGATCTTTGCCTCACTTTTTAATAGTATTGTATCAAAAGCCATTAGAAACACATATCCTTGGATTGTTGGAGAAATCAATGATTCTAAGAAGTGAGAAAAAGGTAAGACAAACCTGGAGGATCTTGTAATATCACAAAGTGAGAAAGAGCTGAAAAGCAAGCCAAAAAAGTTCACACCAGTGAAGAAATGTCAAGGAAAGCTAAGAATTAACTAAAAGCTCTCTGTAGGCCAAAGCTGAACAACAAAATAGTTTTTGATTATAACCCCAAGTATAAAATTAGTGCCTAGGAGTCTACACAAATCTTATGTTCAAAGCTATTTCATATAATTTATGTAAGCACTCTTTAAGGAGAAAAGGAGCAAGTTTGGACTACTCATAATTAACTTTCTTCCAAACGGTACACAAAATGAAATTGGAAAATAGTAAATAATGTAAGAATTTGGGCATTATGCTGGCCTGCCTCTGTCACCTGGTAGAATGCACTCAGGCAGTACCTTGTTCAGCCCAGGTGCAAAGGACCCCTTTAAAGGAAAGACCGCCGCCCATTTACCCCTCTTTCTTGCTGTTCCTCTGGGGCAGACAGGACTTTCCTGACTCCCTCTTCTGTTCTCTCTCTGCCTCTGTGTCTCTTTACCTCTTTTCTCTTTCCTTCCCCCTTCCGTCCCTTTTCTAATAAACCTTCTCACTTAAGCTCTGTCTGCCTGGCATGTTTGTCCCTCCACCTACGTCACCCTTGTCTGCCATGGAATCCACCAAAGTTCTCCTTGTATTTTATCATAACATTAGTCCTGACATTTCCTCCTGAAAAATTTGACCATCACTATTGGAGCCAGTGGTTATGATCAGCTTTAACAGTATGAAGTTATATTGAACTTCAGCCTTTGATAGTACATGATGCTGATTGCACTTTAACTCTGTAGTTTGCCTTCCAAAACCCTGTAGTCATGAGCAAGACATTCAACAAATCCCAACTGAAGGAGACCTACAAAATATCTAAACAGTACTATACCATCAAGAGTAGCTATGGAAATCACCAGGAGCTCCCAGGAATCAAGATCATTAAATGTGGTTTTCCTGAAACAGAAAATGACAAAATTTGAACATTTCATGTTGACATTAGGGAAAGGTAACCTAATTTCTTTTATTAATCTTTCTAAAATTTAAAGTCTATTTTAAAAGTACAAATAATGCCTTTTGACCCAGGAATTTCCCTTCTGATATTTTTCTTTGGAAGTTATTAGGGATGATTCATCTGCATCCATATATGTCACAGAGATATGGGAAATAGTGAAAAGGCAGAAATCCTTTAAATATCCAATATTCACTATTCTAAATATATGCATTTCAATCATGAATCATAATCTTAAAGAAATACTTTTTTTTTTTTTTTTTTTTTGGTTTTTGGAGACAGAGTTTCTCTGTGCCTTTGGAGGATGTCCTGGAACTAGCTCTTGTAGACCAGGCTGGTCTCAAACTCACAGAGATCCACCTGCCTCTGCCTCCCAAGTGCTGGGATTAAAGGCGTATGCCACCAACGTCCAGCATGATAAATACATTTCTTGATGAGGAAAATTTTCATGAATGATACTTGAATGGGAAAAGTAGGTTATAAATGAGCTTAGGAATTACCAGCCAATTTTATGAAAACTAGGTATGTATTTTATACATGCATAGAAAAGATAGAGGCAAATATATTTCAGTGTGTTAATGGGGATTATCCCTAGTATCTGGTGCTGTAGAAAGTTTTTTTTTTCCTTTTCATAGAAGTAGTACCCATTTAGTATAGAAATAAAAAACATCCAAAAAGCTATATTTTAATTTTTTTCTAAGTAACTTCCATTTTTTTAATATTTGAATTACAAACAAGATTGAATTACATGAATATCCCAGTTCCCTTCTCCTTCCCTTCCTCCTCAACCACCCCCCCAACTAAAATCCTACCTGTCATATGTCCTTTCTTCTAATCTACACCTGACTCAAAATTTCTGCTTCCTCATGACCTCTGCATCCTTCCTTTTCTTCCCTTCTCACTCTCGTAGCTTCCTCCCAAGTGTTCTCAATTTGCTCAGGGGATGGTGACCCTTTCCCCTTCTCCAGGGGACAAAGTTTGTCTCTTTTAGGGTCTTCTTTGTTTACTAGTATTTCTGGCAGTGTGGATTGTGGGATGGTAATCCCTTACTCTATGTCTAAAATCTTCCATTCTTAATCTGGCAGCAACAAAGGATTTGGTCCTCAAGAAGGGAGTTGTAAAGCAGCTGTGCTATCGGCAGGCTAAGGAGCCTGACTGTTAGTCACTCATTTACTTCCTGTGGCAAGACACTAGCTGGAAGGCTTATAATCTTCCGGAGAAACAGGACTTTACGATCACTTGTATGTGAGTGTGAGGAGCATCACCCATGAAAATGGCTGCTAGGTTCATAGGGATCAAACTTGACCAACTGGGGTAACCTGGGCTACATATTTGATTAAGATCCTTTTATTATTATTATTATTATCATGAGAAACAGGTTGTTCTATGAAAATATGCTTTCTTTTTTCTTTAAAAACAGAATAAGATGCCAGGCATTGGTAGTGCATGCCTTTAATCCCAGCACTCAGGAGGCAGAGGCAGGTGGATCTCTGTGAGTTCGAGGCCAGCCTGGTCTCCAGAGAGAGTGCCAGGATAGACTCCAAAGCTACACAGAGAAATCCTGTCTCGAAAAACCAAAAAACAAAACAAAAAAAAAAGCAAGATATTTCCCCAGCCCCCATCACACCAGAGCTGTGACATCCATGTGGGTGTCACATTCTTATTTATGCTGGGCCTGATATCCAGCCTAATACACAGTAGACAATCAATAAATATTTAGCAGTTGAGGAAATCAATAAATGATATGTCAGAGTCATGGGGTCTCATGCTCTAAACAGTGAAATAATTTTCTTTTCAGGCCCAGGAACCAGATCTGTCTTAGAGTAATAAGGATAGAATTTGTCAGTCAATACCTCTGACCTTTTCCCTGAGCTACTCCAAGTTTAATATAGTTTTATAGTAAGGAGCCTGAACATGAAGCCAGGCAGTGGTGGTGCATGCCTTTTTTAATTCCAGCACTTGGGAGGCAGAGGCATGTGGACCTTTGAATTCAAGGCCATCCTGGTCTACATAGTTCCAGGACAGCCAGGGCTACACAAGAAACCCTGTCTCAAACTAGCACCCCCCCCAAAAAAAAAAAACTGGAAAAGAAATCATGTATGATTCAATATTCTCAGTTTGGGGTTGGGGTTGTTGACCTCTGAGACTATGATGACAATCTTGGCCTTTCTCAGACAAAGGGACACACAGACAAAACTCTGAATACAATTTCAGTAGGTTCATGAACATTTTATCTCAAGAATGCTAAAAAGTGAACTGCAGCTTAAGGAAAGGGCACAGTCACCCTCAGTCTTCTCATATTAGAAGTAAGATTGACAGAGAAACAAAAAGAGCTTGCTCTGAACATAATATCAAGGGGGAGAATATGAGGCCAGTTTTATCTGTGCTTTGATTCTGGCCACAGTCTTTTTATAAAAGACCCTTTGTTCCCTTTGGGACAGATGCCACCAAATACTGCTCTAATGACAGTCTTCTGGTCAGCCCTGCCTACATGCATCTTTTCTCCCATGACTGGACAACCAACAGGAAAAGAGTAAGGCGGAATTCTGATGTGGCATATTACTGAATTGGCTCTCCTGGCTTCTAGAGTATACTCCCCTTAATCGTAGGCCTGTATCTTAAGTGTTTGTACCTTGAAAATACTAGAACCCCACTGCTAGAATATTTTCTATTGATTGTTTCCCCAGATGCAAACAAAGAGCACAGATTTGTGTAGACAAAGATAAGCCTTTCCCCGGTCATAGCTGGAAGCTAATACACTACACGCCATTTCTTTCTCTACCCAGTTGAAACCTTAGACTTCCAGCCAAAATTAAACCTTGATCTCAAAGGACCCTTGGTTCTTACTTGAAGAGTTTCACTTTCTTCATCTGGGCTGTACAGAAAATAATAATTCCAATATCCTGGGATTGGAGTGAGGAGTGATAGAAAGAGTGGGTGAACAACCAAGTTCCAGGTCATGGAATTTCTGTGTTCTGGTCCAGTAAGCAGGAAATCAAGTTGTCTCTTGTCTGTTTGAATCGGTGACCTCTAGAAGTGGATGAGGAGTGCCTAGGCAGGTTTGCTGCTTTTGCCTTTCTGTATGTGTGCTCACCCCGCTGCCTTTCTTTCCCAGGACCAGTGGTGGGTTAACTCTGAGCATCTTAAGTAGTAGCCATTCCTTTGGGGCTAGACAATTGTGTTTTGTCACTGAAACATTGACACTGCAATCCTCTGGTTACATCAGTACTGACTGTGACTATACCACACTATAGAATGTGACAAGGGCAAGGAAGGAAAGAACACATAATGATCCAGTGTCCTGTAAGGTAGAGCACTTCCTGAAGACTGACTCTGCAGCATGGGTGAGACCTTGGCTCCACCCAGTGCAGAGTGATGTTCATTGCTGCTGCTTGTTTTGCTGACCTAATAATAGATGGCCTAACACCTAGAGGAAATCAAACTCCTGATTTCTACCAGTAGCTTATTTTGCTCATTAAAATTCTAAGTCTGATGACACCCCTTGCACCTTTACTTACTTACTGTATATTGGGTACTGTGTATTTTACATGTGTTCTTATTTGATACTCTCACAACCCAAGATAGTAATGTTTTAATTTAGAAATCAGAAATCAAAGAAAGTAAGGCACTTGCCCGTGGCCCTACTGCTCAATCAAGGTAGTTAGTCCCACCAGATTGTCGACCTGAATATTGTCTTGCCTCCCTTCCTGTGACTGATGTCTGAACTCACCTGCTTTTCCCTTTCTTTTGTAGTGGTGCCAGTGAAGAAGAGGACACATGAAGACTCAACATTCCCCGAGGAAAACACCCCTTCCCCGTGTGTATGTGACAGCGTGTGTGTAATGGCTTCTGATATCTGTGAAAGCTGCCTGGCAACAAACTTCTTCCACTGGATATGTCCCCAGGTCCACAGCAGACAGACATCTCCAAGGGACAACAAGTTTTATGCATACTGACTGTGTGCTTCTTGTTCTCGTGTGGTAGGTCACAGGAAGAGCCCCTTTGATCAGCTTGGAGGCTCTTCAGGCAACTCCCCAAAGGCCGCTTTGAACTGACTTACTCAGGAAAGCCAGCCCCTGGAATATTGTGCAAGTCAACAATATCTCTTCAATCATTAGGAAGGTTCTAGATTATCTTGAAAGGATACCTACAAACAGAAAACTCACTTTGTTTGTACTGAAGCTTAAAGCAAATGTGGCCAAGCAATGCCACACAGACTCATTAGACTGTCTCTCATAGTTCAGTTCCACCTTTGTGAAAGACATTAGGGCAGCTGCGTGGAAAATGGGCTTGAAGGAAGAGTCCAGAGCTAGAAAGAAGATATTTTTAGTATGTGAGGTTATCTAGGACGTCAGATTCATAATTCAGTGCTGTGGAAATGGAAAAAGTGATTGAAGAGGTAGGAAGGAAATGACTTTAAGGAGTGTAGAGGGGAAAGGAGCAAAGAAATCTGATTAAAAGTTGAAATCAGTGTTTCAGAATTCAGATTGCCCAAATTTTCCAAACTGGTCACTAAAGCATCTGATAAAATCTGGATTCTTGGGCTAGCTGTGTGGATTAATAGGCCTGCCACAACATAGAAGGCTGGCATGTATATTGCCAGGTGGGAATTTACCAGGTCCACCCCCAAGTTAGCCTACGGTGGCTTCAGTGCACTGTGAGGAGAATCCTTGCCACTCACTTGCTGACTGGATTCAGGTCCATCTGCCAGCAAACATTCCCTCTACTTACTATAATTGGAATCCTCCCTGCCCCCGAAGCAGCCCTTCACTCCACCTCCCACACCCTGGCTCTGCCCTCCTGTGTAGCATGAGCAGGCATGCCCCAGAGCTGAATTTCCTGGCCTTCTCCCATTCCTAGGTCATATTCCTTACAACCACACTTTTCAGTGTCAAGGAAGCAGTGATGTGCTGGTAGATACCCAAACACAAGCTCATTCGTGTGCACCACATCTTCTTAAGACATGAGTTTTTCTTACCAAATGATTTGAAGTCAGGGGATAACCTTATTTTTTAACAGAACAATCAGTTATGTTAGAGAAGATAATGTTCATGCACTTAAACTGTAAAGATAAAATAGGAGACTTGGAAGGTAACTCTTGTTTGCAAGTGGGCAGTGTGTTCCTTCTCCTGCTTGTGTGGTATTCCCATGTTCACATTGAGATTCTGTCTGAACTGTATCCAAGCAGCCTTGGGGTTGCTATTGACCCAGGTCTAGACTTCCATTGTCTCTGAGGCAGATCCAAGGAGTCTGCCTTGGGGGAAATCCCCCTTTTCCTGCTTGCCTGCTTGTCTGTAACCTGTGTACTTAGCACAAAGCTCTAGGGGCAGCTAATGTGTGTGTACAGGATAGTTCTGAGGCAGAAACAACATGTGCTTACTGTAGAAGACCTAGTTATGTCATTATTCAATCCTGTGCATGCTGTACAATGATTATTCCTTTGAGGCCAGGAACCTGCCAAGCCTAAATGTTGTAGGTTAGGATTACCCTAGCTCACTACACATACAAGGATATCAGGGCAGAGATGAGTTTAAGACACATACATACATACATACATACATACATACATACATACATACATACATACATACATACTCCCAAATTCGTGGCTAGTCGATAGATGGCTTAGACAATTTTGATGCTTTGCCATCTGTCTGCAAAGACTGGAGAATTTAATACACCCTGAGTTAATAAACTCCAATGATATCCTGTTTTTTAAAAAATTCTAAAAGGACCAAAACCATTCTAGAAAGAATGTAGAAAATCAGAAGATTGAAAAGACTTCAGAATTTGGAAGCTTGTATTGTCTTTCCCTAGTAATCATTGTTTGATCTTTATGTGTTGACCTTGTATTACCAATGGGTAGATCATTGACTTTCCACACCTAATCATGCTATTACTTTATATCAGTATTTGGGGAATCCAAGCATTTATGTAGTGGTTATAAACAGAAATATAAAAATATTTGCCAACCTGTCTCTATAGATTATCATCTTTCTGGGATCCTCAAGGAAAGTATTTCCCCTTTACTTAGAAAGGGTTTGGATTTGCTTTATGGCCTCCTGCACCTGATAAAACTTTAACCAGGAAAGCATTAACACAGCACAGCAGCTCTGCAGACCCCTCAGGTCCTGTGGCAGTGCTTATTAGGGTGCTTTTTCTGCCGTGGTGCCAACTTCTTCCTCAGAGCTAGGACTACTGCTTGGCTTTGGGCCCCATCATCAGGAAGCTTTTTGCCTTCAAGGTCATTGTGAGTTAGAGTTGTGTGTGTCCTGACTGACTGTGGACAGCAGGAAGAAATCAGGGACACAGGTAAAGAATGTCTCCGGAAATGAGTTGGGTACCCACAGCAAGTCCCAGCAGCCTTCTGAATGTTGATTTGTTCTTTGATTTGATACCACTATATCCAGGACAGTTCCAAGAAGTGTTTGACTTCTAGCTCTGACAGCCAGGAAAAGGAAGTAACCTGAGGACAGTCTAGGAGCCAGGCTCTCTGTAGATATGCCCAAGGACAAGTCACTTGTCTGTAGTTGCTAGAAAACACTGGAAGCAGTTTTGAACACTTCTCTCCCTGATCTGCAGTCAGCCCTCTGCCCCATACATGACTCACCTACAGATTCAGAGCAGAAAGAGGCTTTCAGTTCCCTCAGTATAGTATGTCCATTCACATTATAAAGTATTTTTCAAAGACCTCAAGATGGCCTTATTCCTCTGCTTTAGTAGATGTCGTAAGTACCCATTGTTAACTTGAGCTTCCTTCCAGAAGCTGGGGACCTTTTCTTTTCAGTGCCATCCCCACAAAAGAAAAAAAAAGGGGGGGGGTGTTTGGCCTTCAAGAGTGTATAAAGTTTTCAGACATAATGAAGGTGACAGTAGCCTCAATATCTCCTGCTTCATTGTTGTAGAAAAGCAAGTCCTTATGTTTTAGTAAATCCAGCTACAATGTTTTGTGCTCTGTGAAAAGGTGCCAATTCAAATCACTGACTTTGGACTCCCTTCCTGGTGTGTGTGTGTGTGTGTGTGTGTGTGTGTAAATGAGAGTGAGATTTATACATGCATGCACATACTGTACATTTAATTATTTAAGAGTTGATTCACAACAACCCCAGTGATCTTACATACCACCACAAAGGTTTCGTCTAACTCCACACAATGTCAACAGATAATTGGAGTGTGGGTTCCAGAATAGTTTGTAGTGGTAGGTATCAACTTTTAAAGCACTGAGCCAAGGTGACAGCCAGGAAGAAAATTGCACCCCAACCCCCTTCCACCATGTCTAATAACATGGGAAATTTAGATGCTCTATCATTTTGGTGACTTGGATCATTTTGGTCACTCCATTTGGGCCTGAGTGTACAGCTGCAGAATTTATAACCTTGTATTAGTCAGAGGTCTAGGAAGTCCTATCACCCCACAGAGAAAATGTCCTGCTGATTTCCTTAACATTCTGCTTTCATATAACAGTGTTCAGTACTTGCTTTTCAGTAAATTGGTTGCATGTTTACTGGGGGTTGAGCACATCTAGATTTTTGTTTTGTTTTTTAAAGACAAAAATCCCAATCTAAATCAAGTCCAGCCCTGCCCTAAGGGAACAGGCCCCATGGGGAGACTGCAGATCTCACTGACCCTGCCTTCACCCAGCAGTGTTTCTGAGGCTCCCACCCCAAGGAACTCCAAGAGCTGCAGGAACTGGGTATTCCCCAGGAAAACAGGAGATCATTTGGATCACTTGGCCTTAACATGACCATGTGAGGTTGAGAACATATCAGAAACACCAGAAAAGGGGCAAGAGAAGGAAAGTCGAAACAAATGAAGACATTTGGAGGTGCACTGGTGGAGAAACAGCCCGAGTCCATGCTGGACTTGACGTGACTTTGAGGGACCACTGATGTATACTTTATGGAAGTTAAACCTGACCAGTCTTTTACAGTGACAGGCCACAATGTGTGAGTGGGTAGAACCAACGAATCCATTGTCTTCTGCCTGTTTTCGTGTACACAGTCACATTCCCTTCTTAGTCATCTACCCCTTCCACCCTTTACACTAAACAAGGGAACACTCAATCTTTCAAGGGAATTACATATCTGAGTTAATGTTTCAGTATATCATTTTCATACTGTAAATTATTTTGTAAGAGAGATTTACTGCTATCCCAGGATGTTCGGACTTGGCGCCCCTGTGCATTTGGAAATCAATAAACTATTACTGGAAATACCATTTGTCTCTCAGAATTGTGCACAAAGGACCCTGCTAGGTGTAAATATTCATGACGATCTACATATTTAGCTGTGACAGTGCTGGAGATGATGTTGTTTGTGTTATTAGATGTTTATTCCTGACTTCCTAAAGTGCCTTAGGAGACCTCTGGAGGGTGGCAAAGGGTAGACCAGAGAACCAAGCCAAGTGAACAATGCCTAGACTAGATTAAATTACATACATGGGTAGATTAATAGGTAAGCACTTTTTTCTCCAGTGATCTGTTCAAACACCACTTACAGCTTTACAACTTTGGTGTACTAGAAGAAAGATCAAAGTTTAGTTTTTGACAAATGTTTTTTAAAAATAAAAACTAACCAGCACCCTTGAGCCAATTATAGTTAAGCTAGCAGAGCCATCTCTGTAGAACTTTTAAAGGTACCTGTTTGGATAGAATTGGTGACGGAATTAAGTAAACTCACTTCAGTCTGGCTTCTTACATAGGGCCAAAGGTTGTATTGAAACCTGGAGTCATGTCTTCAGGCCTTCAGTAGCCAATTCGAAGATCACAGATGCTAGAACTACATGGATCTGAAAAATGCAAACCTTCCCAAAAGTATAAAATTTAATGTTTCAAAATCCTAGATTTCACCAAGTATGTTTGTGAACCCTGTTCTAATTTCCATCTGTCAAATATGTCATTAGCTCTACATGATACTATGGGAACTTTGGGGAAAGGTTTTTTTTTTTTTTTTTTTTTTAATTGATCGTTTCTTGATTCCATTTACATGTAGCCTCATTTCCTTTAGACTCATCAAAAAAGTGATATTTCATCTTGTCTGGAACATCTCCTGGTCTTCATAAGGTCACCCAATAAGCCAACCTGGGTTAAAGCCCCAGGACAGAAGACTGTCTCCTGGAGCAATCATTACATCACATTTCCTCCCCAGTTGCTGAGGGCACCTCCTCTGCTGGGCATTGGGTGGGTAGCATTACCGGGCACTGTAACACTTGGTAGTCTCCAGCATTTCAAACCACAGTGTATTGGAAGGTCTTTGTCCCTGCTTCCTGGTGCCAGTACCTCAATACTGCATCCTGTTGCCCCAGGCCTTTTCATTTTATTATCTTTCCTTCAGACAGCTCGTTTTTAATTGATTGTTTCTTGATTCCACTTACATGTAGCCTCATTTCCTTTAGACTCATAAAAAAGTGAAATTGCACCTTGTCTGAAATATCTCCTGGTCTTCACAAGGCGCCAGAGTGACATATGCTCAACGGAAAATCAGGCTGCCAGTCTTTCAATAAGAGAGAATAGTGTTACAGCAAATAAATGAGAAACAAGATTAAAGTCATTCAGTGGCTGCACTGTTTGTTAAATATTGCAGTTTCCAGTGTTAAAACATTTATTTTGTTAACAGTAATAGCTACCATTTAGTGAGCTCTTTGTCTGGGCCAGGGACTCTTCTAGTTGCTTTTCATATTGCCTTATTTAATTATCAAAGCACTAATACTATCATCTTTTATTGTATTGCTCAGAGATCATATTTAGAGATTTAAGTACCAATGTATATTCTAATAAACAGACAGCCAGGATTTAAATAGCCAGACTATCAGACTATGGTGTCCACTCTTCACTCCTGGCTATACTGACTCCACCTGGTATTGATAATTAACATCACATTGCCCTTGGCACTCTCTCCATACAGTTAGTTCAGCCTTGGGCAAACAAATTGTGTCTTTGCTAGCCCTTGCTTTGTACAGCCTGGAAAACAGAACACAGTAAGGGAAGAACTAAAGACAGCATTGCAATTCTGTATGACCCAGAGCTGCACTTAGGAAGTAGGAAACTATTGGACTTGCTTTACCTCCTTCATTTTAGGCCATAAATAATGGAATCACCAGGAGAGAACATCAGGGCTGCTTTGACCGTGGACTTGGAATCTCCAGAGTCAGCCAGCTCTGACACAGAGTCTATAGTTTAAACGTTAAGATGTCTCCAGCAGTTTAATGTAATCCTGCTTCATGTTCTTGGAAAAGGGTGGCAAAAGAAGCTATGTGTTTCAAGTTCTGTGTCTGAGGTGGCCATAATATGCCATTTGCCATGTAAAAAGATATCACAATCTTCATGCCGTTTGAGGTTTCAGTTGCTACCCATTCACCTCGTTTCAGCCATCTGATAATTCCATTTATTCGTGGTTCCTGAACATAAAATCCAAACAAATGGCTTGAGAATGAGTAATTGAGACAGCTGGGAAAACCCTAACAGAAGTGCAACCCACTGAAAAATTACTAAAAACTAAGGAATAAGCAGCCAAGCCTTCTACCCAGTGGAAATAAATACCAGAATGCAAGAGAGGCCATACATCCAAACACCAGGCACCTACCCAGAGCTGCTCTTCTCACGCCTCACACAATTCTAAATATCTGACTAGTTTCCAAGTGTACAGAAGATTAAATTTAAGGAAGGGAACAGACTACCAGGGACACCAAATTCAAGGAAGGAAGAGAGTGACAGCAATAGACAAGACAAAATGTCAAGTGGACCAAGGGAGCTCCAAAACTCATTTTATAGAGGACATTTAGTGTCAAAAGAATCTCACTGTATCATAGTCAAAATAATGACGGAGCACCACATACACACACAAAAGATGCTCAAAGGCAAGTATTTGTACAGTAAGTATTTTTAAATGCTTGTAACACAAGACAGAAGAAAGAGGGAGAGACCTACTTGGGATTAAAAGAAATAAACCTTTGACAATCCAGAACATTTAGCTAAACAAAATATACATCCATTTAGCCACTTAGCTGAGAGTTCATTGTCCCGTGAGCCTCTTGTGTTCAGAGAGGATTTTTCCCCTAGCTTTGTAAGTGACTTTCATGCTGCAGTGCTTTGCATATAATGCCACAAACAATAGAAGTGCCAAGTTTTCAATGTGATGAATAAAGCTAATAACCAGAATACAGGTCAAATTCTGCAACAACAAATATTGCTATTATAAAAATCACTTAGGCATCCCTAAGCCCCTGTCAAGTGCCCATTTATTTTAGGCAATAGTCATTATAACAAAATCAGAAGTACAATAAAAAGAAGCTAGACCCTTTCTGCAAATTGAGTGTAACACAATTTAACCTATAATAACAGATCTTCACTTCTACTTCAACTCTGTGCTGCAAGAAGAATAAACCTTAGCATCAACACAATGCCAACCTAGAAAGCTGGTGGTCAGTTTTTCTAGGAGAAAGAATTTTCTAGGAGAAGAACATGGAGTTAGATGCCATTCCTTCCCTAGAGATCGTCATCTATGTTGGAGCCATCATCCAAAGGAAAGCGACTTTAATCCCAATGGAGTACATATTCTAAGCCCTGGAATGAAGAGCAATTGATTTCTCATGGATTTTTAGGACTTTGGGGTAACCTGTTCCTGATCTGATGACCCAAAGCTTCAAGTGGAACTGTGTTTCTGGCCAGTGAAAACCGAATGGTTATAAAATCATGCACTGCACCAATTGTGTGTAGAAATAGTGTGTTAATCGGTTTCATTCCATTTGGTGCACAGGCAAGGATTTTTCTGTAGCTTTTTGCTGTGGCTATTGATCAGAGCTTTGTCTTTTACTGTAATATTATCAATCAACTATCTCCCTTTCTTTTACTTAAATGGTTTTCATTATTTCTTTGCAAGCAACATTTTGTATACCTTTAGCAGAAAAGATTAAATCATAATTCATTTTAGAACCATACAGTCAGCAATAGGAAAGGAGGGAGGTGGAAATTGCTCACATTTTCCCAATGAAAATATCTGGCCCAGGTCCCAGATTCATATCATACCTCAAAGAAGTCCGTAAATTCTGGGCACCACTCAGCTAGCAGAGGTGGTTTCAAACCTCAGGGTAAGGTGGGCCTGCAGGCATGTCAATGCAGGAAATTCTCCGTTTGCTTGCCTCTCTAAGCCAGGAAACTTTAAAGCACTCCTGTGCCCCAGCTCAGGAGATCGGGTTCAGAAGGAACAACTGCTCTGCTTGGTCTTGATTCCAAGGATGCAGCTGTTGGCTACATGCTATATTATTATAACATCTGGAGGTGAGGGGTGTTAATTGAAAGTAACTTTTCTTACAAATTTTTCCTTCACCACCATTAAGAGACCTTTTGGTGAATACAGGTAGAGGCTGTATCCTAGAATCAAAACCAGCTTATTGCAAGAGGCCAGAAACACAGTAGAAGAGTGCACTTAAGAAGTGGTCATGGTGATGGGAGTGGGAGGAAGGTGGTTTAGGGTAGAGATGATAAGCCACTGATAGCAATAGAAGTGGACATTTTCTCCTGTTAAATAGGCAGCAAATTGTTGCAAGCTACAGTCACCTATTGTGATACAAAAGACCAAAACTTACTCCTCTTACATAACTATTTTGGTCACCATTACCCAAACCCTCTGTTTTCCTTCCCCTTACAGCCTATAGTTCCTCTATTCCACTGTCTTTCCACAAGATTTACTTCTCTAGCTTTTAGCTATGAGTGAGAAGACAGTAATTGTCTGTGTCTATTGTATTTCACTTTACATCATGTCTTCCAGTTCATTAAAGACAGGATGAGAGAGGCTGAGTCTGAAATCATACCCAGGCTGGGTTTACATAAGCAAGACCCTGCCTCCAAAAACAAGAAAAGAGGTAAAATGAAAAAACAAATGTTATTTTTTTTTCAACACTTAAACCAGTTCTATTTGTTAACAGGTAGATTCGAACCCTCGAAAATAGGGCCTATCTGATCCAAGAAAAGCATTCCCATTGGTTGAAACTACAATTGCCTGTTATTTACTCTAAGTTGCCTGCTAAGCCCCCACCTCTGGCAAGAGGACAAGACATGGGGAAAAAACAAATGAAGACCCCCCCCTTGGGTCTACCTCTTGTGGCTGCAAATAAACCACCTGTGGACTGATGACAAAATCCATCTAGAGTGTTTTTGCCCCTTGTGACAGTCAAACCATAGGCATTCTTTTATACTGTGCTACTGAAGCCCATCACTGCCC